TTTGTTTTGCGCAAAGGTCGGTCTTTAAGATGATTTATTTCATTTTAAATTTTCACTAATATGTGCGCATGTGATTCCTTGCAGAGAAGTTCTTAATGGGTCTGATCTACAAGGCAAAAACCATGAAAGAGGACCACACGTTGGCTGATTACGGGATCAAGCACAAGTCTGAGGTCCAGGTGGTGGTTCGCTGTAACGGAGGACTGGAGCTGATCGTCCATGACTCTGATCCACTCTGATCCATTCAAAACTGGAGTGGAGTTGATTAGAGTCAACAAACAAGAGTAAAATAATGATGCTGTTTGTTTGAAAGATGATGCTTGTTAACAAAAAAAAAAAAAAAAAGATCTGTATGTAAAGTGAAAACAAAAAAATGAAAATGCCCAGTCATTCTTATGCATTATTGCTGGTTTTCACCCCAAAGCCATTAGAAAACAATTTCAAAAATCTTATATGAAAATATGATCTCAGTATTTATAACTATTTGTCAATATTAATTATTGTTCTTTGCTATGCACATGTTTTTCACTGTCACACTGAATAATTGTTCGCTTGTTAAAAAACAGTTTGAAATAAATTATTTAATCATAATGATATTTGATTGAATATCATTACGATCGATTCTCTTATTCCCTTAAGTGAATAATTGCTGAGGTTCTGTGATTTTTCTCTCTCCCATGTTTATTGTAGATAAACCTTTAATCAATTCAGTTTCTTTGAAAACATAAATACAGTGACACATGTAAAATAAGTGATGAGAGATTATGAAAAATAACTATAATTTTTTTAATTTTAATAATTACTGTTTGCACTTTTAATTTGTCTGCATGTTTGATGCTCAAAAATAAATGAATAACTAAATATTACGATCTTTGTGTGAAACTACTTGCTTTGTTTACCTGTCACTGTGCTCCTGTTGCACAGAAATGTCCCCATTAAAGGACAATAAAGGATAATATAATTCTTTACTAATGGTAGTCAGATTATTCATTCTGTTTAATAAACTGTAAATTATTCACGTTAGTTTTTATGAAGTTAAGGCGCGAACAATAAAAACTATAATCTAATATTTATTATTTACATGGTCGTGATTTTTCGCTGCTGTTCATTAAATGTCATTCATTCATTCATCCATCCATCCATCCATCCATCCATCCATCCATCCATCCATCCATCCATCCATCCACCTGCTCTTCTTTCCATGTGGGCGTATCTTAAGCGATCAGCTGCAAAGCGAAAGTCACGTGACCCGTAAAGAATAACCGGGGCCGAAATCGAAAGAGTTTCCTTCTATTAGACCAAATACAATATAAAGTTGATTGTTTTCTGCATCGCAGGAGAAGTAAAAAAATCTTCCAAGATGAACTCTAAAACGAAGCGCTACAACCTGAGCGACTCTACAATCCGACTTGTGGAAGAAGAGGATCAGTTTGACTGTGAGTGGCTCGTTTCGTTTCATCAGCGCTGTAGCTGTAAAAGTTTCCACTGAATTTGCAATCTTGTTTACAATATGCATAGTTTGTATTTAAATATGCTGGAGGATCTCATGGGATGTTTCTGCAGTTCTGTGTGAAGGTTTTGATTCCCCGAGAGCCCGGATGTCCTGCGGACATGTGGTGACCCCGATGTCTCTCACGAAGTGGTGCCAGCAACTGCTCAAACAGGTGGGATATGACGGTGACCTCACATTCAGCCCGAAAATAGGAAAAAAAAAAGACAATTGTAAGCTAGCTTTTGATACAGATGAAAAGTAATAAGGTGTTTCCTTGTGGTGTTTATTTTTTTAGATTATTTCCGCAACAGAATGATGCAGACAGCTATTTTTCAGATCTAGTTTTCTGGTCATTAAATGCTTTTTTAATCCAATTTTTAACAAATATTAAAATCTTAAAATGTATCTATCCTCTCTTTCGTCTATTTTAACATTTTGTTTCCTTTATTTGAGTTGTAGATACCCGACTTCCAACGTTCAGAAACAGAGAATAACCAAAAACAAAACCTGTGCAAATCTTTTAATTATAATACTCTGACTTAGGACTGTAGTTCTAATGAAATTCATAATTTTTGCTTTTATGAATGTAAAATGTGAAATATTTTACTCTGATGGGTAAATCAGTCAAAATCTGATTAGTTTATTTCTCTACAACAGATTCACTGTTAAAAAAAATAAAAGCTAACTTTCCAAAGACAAGTTATCATTTGTGAAATTTAAAGCACCGTGTCATTTATTATCACAGTATTTTCTGTGTTGACATAAAACATTTTAACAGTGTGTTTTGATGGTGTAACATTGGCAGAATATTGACAACTGGTTGGAAGGAAGTGAAGAATCTGCTTATCACTTATTGTTGAACTTACGGTGTTTTTATCTTTAATCCTGATTATTTTTGTGATTGGTTAAATAAAGGGAAAATCCAGGTTTGTGTGCGGTCAGTCTGGCTGTAATGCTGAGTGGCCTTATCAGGAGGTTTGTAAAATGGCCCTGCTGACCCCTGAAGAAAGGAAGAACTTTGAGACGACGATGGCCCTGAATGCTGCCGTCGGAGATCCTAACACAAAGTTTGTAAGTATCTTATTAATGACGTAATTATAACTGCACACAGGCTTGAGTCTGACTCAAATCCTTCTGTTCCCTCTCTCTCCTCCCAAACACACATACAATGTCAATCACCTGACAGTGTCCAGGCTGCATGACTCCTGTGACCAGAGGGAGCAGCTCAAACCTCTATGTCTGCTGCCATGTGTGCTCAGCAAAGACCGGACGCAGCTTTGGGTTCTGCTGGCAGTGTCTGAGGGAGTGGAAAGGCCGACAGCCTCGATCCGACCGCTGCAAAAACGACAACTGCCACAATTCTGCCCTGAAGACGCTGAGAGAGTGTCCAGAAATTAAAATTGACAAAGTCAAAGGCTGTCCATCGGTCCGTGCCTGTCCCACCTGCGGCTCACTGATCCAGCACACTGGGATAGGATGCAAAACCGTTATATGTCCCCGATGTAAGATGTCGTTTTGTTTTGGCTGCCTAAAGAATGGTTACTGTGGTATTTCTGATATTTGTTCCAGTGGCATTGCTCCTAGGCAGACGTTTATTCCTGTGTGGCAGAGGAAATGATGTGATTCATAAGCTACCACTGTTTGTTATTTACCTGGTTGTTCTTGCTACTCATGTATAATCTTTAAAATCCGACATTTGCAACAATTTGAACAATCTTTGTACTCCGCTTACTACAAAGTAACTTCCAAATAAATCTTGTCATGTTGTGGAATGTATTATTCTGAAACTACAACAGATGAAACACCCATTAAAGGATGTCCACAAGAATATGTAGCTTTTTGTGCTGTTTGATGCCTCTATTATTGTATTTGCATCAAGTAATCATATCGCATTGTATGATTCTTACGCATTCTTCATTAAGCAATCTTTGTCATTTTATTGCATTTTTGCGATAGTGCAAACTCAAAATCAGGAATTGTTGAACAAATAAATATTGTGCTATTGTTTGGCTAAATAAAGAGTGAAATTTAATCCAAATCAATTAATCAAACAAATTTTATTTGTATAGCACATTTCAGCAGCAAGGCATTTGAAAGTGCTTTACATAATTAAGAAAAAAAACAACATGTGACATTGAATAAACAGTAAGAAAGAGAAAGAGATTTTGGAAAAAGGAAAAAGAAGATTTTCAAAAAAGGGATAAAAACATACTTTTGTTACGGAATTTAAGCGCCTGTCGTCGCCGGACTCCGCGTCTGTTTAACACGGGTATTATCCAGGCCCCGTCGCCTAAGAGGACAAGGTCTCCAACCTTGCAGCACCAGGCTCCGTCAACCTGTCATGCGAATTTTTGCGCTAGGACTTCGCTGTCCTACACGGATTTTTGTGCACTATTTTTACCTGTTGGAGTCTAAAATTTACAGGGTTTTTCTGTGCGCGCGATGACCCTCAATCACTCGTCACTTTTACATAAGTATATAAAAAGTAAAGAAAAACATTAAAAACATCAAAGACATCTAAAACCTGCACTCTAACCCTAATTTAGCCATAAGCAACTCTAAACAGGTGGGTTAAATCATTTACAATTATTCAGTTTGAATAATAAATGTTTGAAAAATAAATGTAAACAAGTGTCATAGGTTATTACATAAATGATATATATTAAATATGATTGATGTGTATGAAGTGATAATCTAAGACTTCATTTG